GCGAAAGCCTGGAGATCAGCTGGAGTTGCAGGGCTCAGTAGAAGCACCAGGATCTGCGCGCACGGCTGCATACCAACTGGAGAGAAAAGGAGGACGCCAGAGAGGGGAGAAGCTATAAAAGGAGCAGATTTTGACGAGAGAGGGAAAGGAAAAAAACACACAAAGAGAGAGGTTTTTGTTAACAAAGTGGTGAGTGAGAAAGCAATGGAATGGCCTTTGCGAGTAACATGAGTGAAAGAGCGAGAGAGTGGCTTTTGCGAGCAACGTGTGAGTGAAAGAGTGAGCGACAGGCTTTTGCAAGTGAAGGGTGAGAGAAAAAAGGAAAAGTGAGGGGGAGAAGGGAAAAAGAAAAGGCATTGACTTCTGACTTTCTCTGTTGCAGTAGAAGGAAGCATTAATATTGAACCTCAACTTTTTACTTTCCCATATTATTATAAACTAGCAATTTCTATAACAAATCTAACCACTAAAGCCCAAAATCCCCCCCCTTTTTTTAGCCATCAAGTTTTTGACACCTTGCTTAGCATTGGTGATATCTGAATAGTGTCATGTCCTAAAAGTGGTACAATCTGTGAAAAGGTTGAAAAGCCCTGGTTTAGGCACAAGATCTAGGACATTGGATCCTATCCAACAAAATGTGATGAGAAAATTAATATTTTTACACTTTGGCAAGAAAAACTAAATGCAGAGTATAGAATTGGTGGTACCTGGCTCAACAGCATTAACTGTGAGAGGGATTTAGGGTCCTAGTGAACAATCATTTAAGGATAAGCCAGCAGTTGTACCGCAGCTGCCAAAAAAGCCAATGCAATCCTAGGTTGCTTCAACAGAGGAATAGTATCAAGCTCACATGAAGTATTAGTACCACTATCTACTACTTTGGTAACACCACATATGGAATACTATGTCCAATTCTGCTCACAATACAAAAAAAAAAAAAATGTTAAGATCCTAGAAAGAATACAGAGAAGAATGATGAAGATTAAGGGACCGGAGGCTACACATATAATAAACAGTTGTGTTTATTAGGTCTGTCTCATCTAACAAAGAGAAGGACTAGATATGATAGCAGTCTTCTAATATTTGAATGACTATCACAGAGAGCAGTAGAGGGCAGGACAAGAAGTAATAGATGAAAGCATATCAAAGAGAGAGCCAACCTAAAATTAAGGAAAAATTTCCTGACAGTTAGCACAATTAATCAATGGAAGTTCTGGGTGTTCCATCACTGGGAGTTTTTAACATGATATTGAACAGTCATTTATCCAGAATGGTGTAGGCTAGTTAAACAGGGAGTTGGATCAAAAGACCTCTAAGGTGTCTTCCAACTCAAGTTATTTTGTAATTCTAATCACATATAACATGGGAATTTTTAATAACGGCAAGTTTTTAAAGAGAAATTCTATAGATTCATACATTGAAAACTATCTATTTTGAAAGAAGAAAGAAAAATTGTTTTCCCTTGGTATTAAGATTGAAAATATCTCTGGTTGCTTTTAAGAACATAGATATATTATCATGATCACATAGACCATTGTTTGGCACTAAGCCTCAATCAAAGCACTTTAAAGATAAGATCATGGAATACTATGGAATTTATTCCTTAGTAAACATGTATTGCAAATCCAGTTTAGCTGCTTAGTAGTCACACAATTTACTCAGAACTTCACTGGATCATCAACTACTTCACGACCTGTTACATATTAATCAGTTCTTATTCAGCTCAACATCACTCTGTATCCTAGTTAAAATGAAACTGATAACGCACTGCAAGTATAGGGGTAACATGATTCTGGTTGCTTCCCCAATTATAGTAATGACATTTTGCAATTTACAAGGAATTACATTGTCTTCTGAATCTCAGGATTTTTCTATAAAGGGAAACCAGAATCCATAAATATCTGAACACACCAGATTGGTTATTCTTGCTGTGTGAATATACATATACACTACTGCACAAAAGCTATTAAAATTAGCGTGGTAAGTTAAGGATCTCTTAAATTACTATCTCACCCCTGAAAATAGACTACAAAAAGATAATTCTTAGATTTGTTATTTATGCTTCTAAATTGGAATTAAGGTCTCTGATGATCTTACTATTTAAAGTGTTGGTTTATTGATTCCTTCTTTATAAATGTTAAAAACAGGAGAAATAGATAATAATTAAATTGGATGTTTTAACCTCCTTTTTACATATTCTTCATAGGAATAAAGTAACACTTAAAGCACAAGTATTAAGAAATAATATATTATTCTAATAAAAATGAACTATATCCAGGTATCAGCAAACAAAATGCATTTTTATTTTTTCATTGCAATTACATGTCTTTTTGAATAATGCAAACACAGAACTTCTTTGCCTGAAAAGAAGTCTTTGCTTTAAGACTCATCTTTTTAAAGCAATTCTTCAATGATCTCATGAAATCATATTTATTCAAGAAAAAAAAACACAGCTATTCTACAGACTCACAAGTTGGATTTCTAATGGATAAATATAGCTAGGATTATATGGAATTATGTTTGCATATGTAAATTTTACTTGAAAACAAAAAATAAAAGCCAAAGTATAAATGAGGAAAAATAGTTTTAAAATTTGTAATAAACATTTTGTAAGATTACAAGCCATTTAATCTAGATATAAAATACATTCATAAAGTTCTTCTTTAAAATTTAAAGAAGCCCATTTGTACCATCATTAAATGCATACAAAAGGCTCTTTTAACTCCATTGCTAGTAAGTGCCACTCTTAAACATACTAAGTTTATAGTTTCTCTATCCTCTCCCCCCTCTCCCATCCCAAGAGCTACTTAGGACCAATTTCATTGGAACCGAACAAGCACAAACAATGGCCACTTTGACCATTTTAATTCTTCATAGAAAGGAAAAAAAATGGAGACCTCTGTCTTTTCATATTATTTTGTTTGGGATCCAGAAACAGAAGCAGGAACAGTGACAGAAGCAAGAATATGTATCTTGTCTTAGTAGCACCTTGGAAAAAAATTACATATTAATAAACTATTAGTCCTGTTTAAAAAATTAAATTTAGATTATAAAACCTTCATGGTAAAAAAAGCAGATTCTTATGAAATCAAAGTAAAATGGATCTGAAACAATATCTAGTGAGCCACAAATTTTAAAGCAGAATTTAAATATTGCAGTATGTTTTGTTTTAGGATACTGATATTTCATAAAAAATAAAATCTGAATTTTCAGCTGTGTATTTTTTTAATAACTAATTTCATATAACCTGAGGTTAGAACTCTAATAAAAGGGATGACTGACACTTTAAATTGCAAAATGCCCAAAAGTCTACCTTATCAAATTAACTTTTTATGTTTGTATACTATTAATTCAAAATGAGATATTGTTAAACATTTAGGAATGATGATACATAGGCATTAGTTAACTAATATAGCATATACTAAATCAACATAAGGAGCTCTTCAATTACACCTATCAAATAAATTCTTATTTGAAAAAATATAGAATATAGTACATGAATTTGTGAGAAAGAAATGCTCTAATTTTAAAATTTGCACACAAATATCAACATTACATGGCTATCTTATGCATAAGCACATTTCATCAATTCATGTCTCTTATTTTACTTCAATGCATCCAAATCTGAAGGACTAACAAAGCAAAATTTAACATAAACAGGGACTTTTATTATTTAATAGTTCTTATATCAGCCACTAAATTGACACTAGCCATTCACCAAAAAGGAAAAATTAACTAAATACCACCTTATCTTTAGACATCATTTTTTAATTCACTGGAAATTATTTTCATTAGCATTATTTATCTGTTTTTACTTAGGAACAAATTACACTGTGCCTAAAAGTACCACTAATCATTAATTTCAAAATGAATTTCTAACATCAAGTATTTTATTCAGATGCAGTTATAAATTTGAATAAGATTGCTTTAAAACGTTATAAAAATGGACTGAGTAATTAACATTCATTTTACTGCTAAATAAATTTTCCAGATCATTTTACAAAATGTTAACTTACAATTATTACATCAATAGAAGAGGTGTCTTCTCCTGGTTTTACTCCATACAAAAATAAAAAACAAAGTAAAAAGTAAAACCTACAGATTAATAATTAGGTAGGTAGTTATAAAAAGAATACAAAATGAAAATAGTAATTTGCCAATTTTAAACAGAAATACAGCATACTCTGAAATATAGTAATATAATGTGAAATCAATATTCTTACCTGAAATTCTTATTTGGTAGAAGTTAAAATATTTACCTTCTAATCTACTACAGAAGTTAATACCAATGCAATAATAATTAGAGAATATCAATGAAAGAAACAGTCCTTTTTTAAAAGAAGAATTAAATAAAACCTTCCCTTCTCTGTCGTTTAAATCTCACATCAGTTCCACAGGCCAAGTAATTAAAAAAACCCAAATGAACTCAAACGTCGAATCAGCGAGCGACATTCCTATAGTATCTCTCTACTTGTGTATAATTCCATGTCACACCACTTAGTACATACTTGCTGCAAAGGATGTAGGAAGCCCACGTCACGAATCTCCTATACGGCATTTTGCATACCTACAACTCTTTTAACCTCCCTCATCGAAGAGAAATACATTATAAGAGCCCCAAGATAAGTAGATACCAGTAACTTTCCTTGCCTTCCGCATTTCGTTCCCTCTTCGAAAAGATGCCCTCCCTGCATTCCAAAAATCCCTTCTGCCCCAAGACATCGCCTTTCCCCGTGTTATTTCTCCTGCAGTCCTGCCCCAGGAATAAGAGGAAGTGGGAGAATTGGGGGCGCCATTTTGAGGGTGAAAGGGAAAACGGCTCAGTTCTCGGTCTTTGCCGCATCTCCTTCCACTTCCACGCCAATTTGAGGCATCGTGGACGACGCTCAAACCCCCCCCCCAAAAGAGGGGGAGCGAGTGCATCGCAGGCGCCTATCCATTTTGTTCGGACCACGGGCGGTTCCCCTCCTCCATTAGATCCGGCTTCGATGTATCGTTACCTGGCTGTGACAGAAAGCCAGAGCCTCTTCGCCAGTTCCGTTCCCCTTGAGAAAAAGAAAGGCTGACACCGAACGCCCGGCCCTGTGGCTGGCTGCACAGGAGACAAGGAAACGGCGCTCTTCCGTGTCTCACGATGGGGTAAACGCGGCCTCCAACTTCCGTCTTTCCCTCCTCCTTTACTCCCGAACCAAAACACAAACACGTAACTTCCTCTAGCCGTGGCCACCTCCTCTTGACACGTCACCGCTCCCCCCCACCCTCCTCATATCATTTCCGTTTGCACAATCACGTGCTAAACGGTGTTACAGATCGAGACCATAAAGAAGGGTGTTTTCTGTGAAGCAGCCCGGCTCGCGCTGAGAATTGTGGGAGGCTAGAAGGCTCGTTAGAAGAGTGTTTGCGTCTCTTATAGGATGTGGTCGACTGAGCTAGTGCAGAATTTTCACAAGGAGCCTTTCCGCGCGTCAACATTGATATTTCAGAGCTTGAAATAGTTATTGATTTGATTTATATGGCCACCGTCTCAACCATGTGAAATTACTGTAATTGGTTGTTACCAGCCACCCAGAGTCACTGGTGAGTTGGGCAGCATAGAAATTTAATAAATAATAACATGTCTGGACAATTTACAATAATCTAAACACACAATCAAAATAAAACACATATAAACCAGAACAAATGAAATTAAGAAAATCCATAGCCAGGGTCTAAAAACAAATCCACACTCAACAGATCCACTAAGTGAACTTTGCTTCCAGATCTTCATGCCTGTTGTCACAAAAATGGAAAGATATTAGGGTCATGAACAATTTAATCTGGGAGATGTATGATGTTCCATAGGGCTTTTTAAAGGGTTCATATAAAATGGTTATCAATCACCGTGATCACTTAACTACAACTTAGACTGGACGTAGACTAAGTCTACTGAGTATCCTTTTTGCAGATTTTGAAAGAGAATGGAATTGGTAATGGTATTTTGGACTAGTTCCCTCAGAATAATCAAAAATAAAAAGGGGTAGGAAGTGGGAGTGAGGGAGAGAAGGGTTGTTGCTCATTTGCTATCAATTGAGGTAAAACAACGCCATTATAGCACAGAGGAGTCCATTGATGCAACTGATTTAAAACAAGAGAAACATGGATGAATACAAATCCCCTAGACTAGAGATTTGCATAATGAGTTGTGTTAGTGCTCATGGAGGTTCTATATATTAGTGATGGCAAACCTTTTAGAGACTGAGTGCCAAAACTGCAACCCAAAACCCATTTATGTATCACCGGGTGCCAGGTGGCATGGCCCACTGAGTGGGCATGGCTAAGGTAGCATGGGGGCAGGGTGGGCGTGACCACCTCAGTGTTGCTCCTGGAGAGGGATGCCTGAGGGGGCCAGGCAGGGTTGGGGGAGATTCAGGAGGGTCTCTGGCGGGTGGGGTAGAGGGCAGACGGCTCATCCTGCAGGGAGAGATGAGGTGAGGGAGGAAGCAGGGCGGGGGTGCCATTGCCATGGGGCAAGGTGAGGCTGGTTGCAGACAAAGGGGGGGGGCGTCCGGTGATGAGGTGGAAGAGGGTTTAAGCAAACTTAGCAACTGGAGTGGGGAATCCTCCCAAAACAAATGTGCTTCGTGGGTAACTGCAACCACCCAGTAGATGAGAGGGGAATAAAAACCAAACAGCCCCCCCCCCGCCAATCCTCAACAGAAATGCTCACAACAAAAGCCTCAGACAGGGAAGAGTGAGGGCAGGTGGGTGTCTTGCTCAGCTGATGGGTTGGGGGGGAAGGGGGCAGCTACACCCCCTCCCAGAGGATCCCCTCACGAAAGCAGGATGAAAACTCCAAAAAGTGACAAGGGAAAAAAGTTAAAACAGAAGAGTGTCTCAGAACACCTATATTAGCAGGTGCAACTGATATAAAATCTGGATGAAGAATGGTCAATAAAGCATTCTTGGTTGTTTATTTTATCTTTCCTAATAAGCTATAACCAACTTCGTCTCTTCACTTTGCAAAACCTGCAGGTCCCATGCAATTCCACATACCTGCAAAAAAGCAGCTGCAATCAGAGTACTCTAACTTTGAAATGCGGCACCACTGATTTAACTGCTGTCACACTACAAGTACAGTTGGAATTTACAGTACTAGTTTATCCAGCATGTTATTTATTTTATCTTTCTTCTCCTTATACAAAACTATACCTTCTATACACAGAATGGAGAGTTATTATCGGTTTCTTGTCCAGTTTTAGTTTCCCTCTGCATCTGATTGGCGACTAGAATAAAATAATGCCAAAATTTGCTTTTATCAAGTATTCCTATTCCAGTTGGGGGGGGGGAAGAGAGACAAAAATGCTTTCTGCTATCTGAGGGTATTTATTTCAATACCATTTCCAAAGTCTATGCCCTCATTTATATAGTCTCTTTCAGAGTAAATGAAGCTTGGTGGGCAGGGGATAAATTAAGGGGCAGGGGATAAATTAAGTCAATGCAAGAAAGGAAAAAATGGCCTGGTCATTGGATACATTTATCTCCCTCTCCATTTCGTTTGCTCGTCAATTATTTGAGTTCTTGAGTCAAGCAATGGGGTTCACCCTTCCATCCCCGCTTTTCAATTTCCCCAAAGGACTGTAAGAGTCACTGTCTTTCTGAAGACAAAGTGTGCTTTTGTGCCCCTGGCAGAGAGCACCTTGAGCCTTGCTGCAGTCCTGATCTTGAGCTGGCAAAGATTGGAAAATGCCATATGCCATCTGCCTTCTTTCCAGCCCAGAGTTCTTATGCCACAGAAGTCCTTCCCCATGTTGCTCCAAGCTTAATAAAGCAGAGTTTCTATTTTTAAATAAGCCTTCACTACTACTATTACTTCTTTTGAATCTGCATGAATGTATTACCGAAAGGAGTTAATGCTCTCACTAACTGGATGCATTTTGTTTTTAATCCGGAGCAAAATAATTTGAGTTTGGAGTTGGGAGATAGGATGTGTGAACTAGAAAGCTGCATCACTGTTGCCTCAGATAGCCAGGATGTGCATGCATGACAGGCAATTAATATGTGTTATAAAAATTGAGCCATGCATAAAAAAAAGAATGATACTTAATGCAGAAACTGGTAATCAGATCACAACGCCACATCCACTTCTTTGAGAGATACTACATGCTTTTCCCATTTGCTCACTGGATGCAAAACAGACATGGAGGACTAATGACCTTTGGGACAATAAATCTGATGAGTAGAAGAAACTTACTACAATTAGTCCTCGACTTAACAACAGTTCATATAGTGACCCTTCAAAGTTACAATGGCACTGAAAATAAAAACAACTTACCATTTTTCACACTTACAACCATTGCAGCATCCCAGAGTCATGTGATCAAAATTCAGACACTCGTCATATTTATCACAGTTGCAGTATCCCAGGGTCATGTGATTACCTTTTGCGACCTTCTGACAAAGTCAATGGGAAACCAGATTCACTTAACAACAGTGTTTCTAACTTCACAACTGCAGTGATTCACTTAACAGCTGTGGCAAGAAAGGACGTAAAATGGGGCAAAATTCATTTAATAGCTGTCTCGCTTAGCAACAGAGATTTTGGGCTCAACTGTGGTTGTAAATAGAGGACTACCTGTATACATTTTTTTAACAAAAACTAGTTGCTCACTGATACCAGAAGGCCTGATGAACCAGCCATACAAATGGCAGGTCTTCCTCCACCAAGTCCAATTGCTACCCAGCTTTTCCCAACTTGGATTCTTTCTTCCAGATTTTCTGGGTAGAGAATTCTAGGATCATCCAAGCTCATTTCTTATTCTTTTATATTCTTCAAGTAATTATAAACTTTTGTGCTCAGTTTCTAGTGATATATGTGGTTATTAGGAACTGCTTTTTGGTCCTGTAGAATTTCTATGTTTAATGGCAGAGTCATATATATGTATAATAGATATACATACTCACAGACACACACATATGTATACCTATATATACACCTATATACATCTATACATATACACGCATACATTCTATGTGTATGTGGGTGTGTATGTATGCATGTACATATCTGTCTCTATATGTGTTTATGTTTGTGTGTGTGTGTGTGTATGTATATGTATATGTGTATATGTGTGCACACAAATCAGTGTGTCTTGACTAGGGTTCAGTTAGTCTAGGAAGGAAGGAAGGTTGTTTGTGTGCCATGTGTGATGTTTATTTCTTTGGTCTGAGGTGAAACTGTCTGAATCCATATAAAGTGTACAATGCATTGCACTGTGCTTCATATTCCAATGACATGGTATGTATACACATTGTCAAAAATGTTATTGTCTTTAGAGAATGGGAAAAAATAGGTAAAAATTACAAAATCTACAGTAGTGTCTGATGAATGCAAAAACACACATAAATATGCAGGCATTTTCTTTTGTTGTTGTTATTGACAATACATGGTTTTTATAATACGTTGAAAAAATATGTGCAGTAAGGGCAGTTACCCATCAATCCTTGTAAATAGTGCTATGTGTCTTCCTGTATCTCCGACGGAACAACAAATGTTTCCATGCAAGATAAAAATAAAGAATAAACACATTCACTTTGTGACAATAAGGTCTGAGCCTGCATAAATGGTTGACAATCTGTTGCTATTTGTGTACAAATACAGGTATGAAAAACGGATACATTTAAGATAATGGGGCATTCACAAAAGAGGGAACGTTATGGAGATAATTTTGCAAATGCTACGGAGATGCAACATGTTACAGGAATGGAAGAAAGCTATGTTGGATAGAAAGAGTAAAAAAAAGGATATACATACTTAGTTAAGTAAACCGGAATGATGAAACAGAGAGAAAACTTACTAGGGCCTCCGCTTTAGATCCACAACTTGCAAGACTTCAAATAATACAGCTTAAAATGAAGTATTTCAGATTTGCACCACTCACCCATCCCTTTTTCAGCAAATGGTACGGCCACCTGTTTGGAAGCCCAGTGCAACCAAGACAAGTGCATTCCACGCCAATAGGCCAAAAAAAGGTCCAACAGGCCTCCATGGCCATGGATCCGGGCTCCAGAGGCTTGGAAAAGTCCTCCGGAGCCCGGATCGGGCTGCTGGGGGGCGCGCAAAATCACTCCACGGCCATGGATCCAGGCTCCGGAGGCTTGGA